TTATTAAGGTTATAACACATTTGAAGTTACCTTAATTGTAATATTGAGCAAATTAAAGATTATCAAGTACAGTGTCCCTGAACATCCTAGAGCAGCTTCTTTCCCCATTTGACTAATTGCTGTGACACTTGAGATCTCAGTGTGATGTTTTCCTCCACACAAGTGCACAAGTGGAGGCCACCGTACCTCTTTAAATAAACAGGCAGATGTGCTTAAATAATAAATTAATTTATCGAGAGAAGTCAGAGTTGCAGCCTTGATCCTTTGGCTCTGCTGCAAACATCCTCTGCCAGCTGAACAAAAGGGAGGTAGTTGCAATTTTTGCTCCACTGAGCATATGTGCAAAAGAGAGGTTGCTCTTGTTGTTTTTCCTATAAGTGAGCCCAGGAGAGCATGAGGCCCCACCCTCTGCTCCATACAACTATCTTGGAATGCAGGGCTCAGCAGACATTTGCTCCCAAATAGAAAATACTTTAGGTTTTGTGGGTTGGCTGGTGTCTGTGTTACTGTTCAACTCTGCTGGGAAATGAGAAGGCAGCCAGAGACAACAGGTAAATAAATGGGTGTGGCTATCTTACCATATTTTCAAAAACAGACCGTTGCTTAATTTGGCCAGTGGGGCGCTGTTGATTGCCTACTCGTAGTGGAGTAGATGGCCCGCAGCCAGTGCGGTCAGGACAGGCGGGTCGCGGGGTCTTGGAACCAATCATTCTGTGTGGTCTCACACTATTCACTTGTGGTCTCTAAGCCTCCATCTCTCCAAGGTCATTCTTCTCTCTGATCATCTGAGACTGTAACTTACTCTTAAAGAGCAGTAGGATGCAGAGAATGAGAATTCTGATATTTATGTAAAATACTTCTTATTTTTAGATCTTAGCAACAAATTCAAAATTTAAAGCACACAGTGCTGGCTAAAGAAAAAAGAAATCAGAGCTAGCGGAACTGTCATAATGAGAAGACCCGTCTTACATCAATATAAAAATCAAAGGACCAAACTTTCAGAGTGAACAAATGAATGAATATGGGTTAGTTACTTCCGAACCATTTCTTCTCTCTCTGCTTTATCTACAAACCTGATTCTTATTTGAGTTACTGGTCCTGACTCTTCATCCATCCACTTACTGAAGCCTGAAGAGAGCTATATTTGACTTTTAACTAATCTTCTTCTAATCACTGGTACTTTTTGTTTGGTTTTAATGGAATTTTTTCTTTCGTTTTCATTCCCAACTACTCTGATACCTTAATTCAAGACCGCATCACTTCTTCCCCTTATTTTAGTACCTTATCACTTCTTAAAATATTTTATTGAGGTAATATTGGTCTACAACACTGCATGAGATTCAGAGGTATAGGGTCACAACTCTTCCCATCTGTGTCACCACACACACCCGGCCTTATCTCTTTTACTACTGATCATGCTGTGGTTAATATTGTCTTCAACCATGTTTCGAACTCAAATGAATTACTATCTCTGAAACATGAAACTGATCGTATCACTTTCCAGTGTAAGACCCACTGAGGAATCTCCATTATCCAATTATTAGCAAAAGTATGAATTACTGGCATGGCTTGGGATGTGCATTGCTACATTGTTTCCATGTGCCATGCCCCTGACATTGTATAGGGCCACCACACCAAGTCATTTTCTGTTCCCCATGACCTTCAGCTCACTTATAGACAATCTTATGCTGGAACCGGGACACCTGCATCCTCATTCCACTCCAACCTACATGCACACATAGTGTCCATCTTCACTAGTCATAAAATACCTGGGATTTTCTTGAGATCAAAAGAGAGAAAGACCAATCTTACATGCAGAATGAAGAAAATAGGCCCTTACCCTCACACATAAATTTAGGGAATAGAATAACCCGAACTAGGTTGAAAGGAATAGTTTTCTTGGTGCTTGTAAATGCAGGTGCCTTTTCCATACTTGGCTATCTCTGTCTCTCTATTCCTCCTAATTTTGCCCACTGCCATTACCATGGCAATTTACTTTTCATAATTAACAAATAGGATGGTGACACCCTTGAATGTTTCTCCACAGAGGTCCCAGGAAGTAGTTATTTCTCGAAGCTTGAGAGATCTTTGTGCTTGCCTTGTACAACACCTGCCAATTAGCCCTGTAACAGTCTGCAGATGCATTCAGGTGCTCAGACACGGAGGCACCAAGTGTATCACTTAAATCTATGCATGTCCTCCCCCATGGCCAGGATCCACACATCAAATTAGGAGGAGCATTGCAGTTACATAAATCTGACATAATAAATGTGGGCAGAGGGAAAGATCTCTCTATCTGACTATATCCGAATCACAGAGGGGATGATATACACAAATCAAGGCAGAGGGAAATGAGGAATGCTGCTAGATATTTAAATAACAACCAGAAAGCTGTAAGAGAATTGTCATCTCCTATAAAGGTCTTGACTAGGGAGATCCAGAGGTTCAGAATGCAATCCAAACAGGTGAGGCAGCTTCAGGAATCTATGGCTCTAAAAATAATGTAAACTGTAAAGGAAATTGTAAAATTGCCAAACCTGAGAGCAAAGGAAAAAGAAGAAATATGTCCTAGAGGGTCTCCAATCCTCTGTCCCTGTGGTTGGGCCAGCAATAGCTCCCCAGTTCCATTGGCATGTCCCTTTTTTCAGAGGAGCAATGCTATGTCATGCACCTAGAAGGCCCCTTTCATTCTCCACGTGAGTCTGTTTTCCAAACCTATCTCCAGTCATCTCTGGCAAGGCTTCGCTGCTATTTCCAGTTTGCATTTTTCTTCCTGGCTCCTCATGAGCCTTGCTGAGAACTTCAAGTACTCAGCACACGGCTCTTGGGTGCACACGTATCTCCACTGGACTCTGAACTGTTTCCCAGAAGGACCTGACTTTTATCTATCTATGAATTCCCAGGCTCTCAGATAACTGAGCTTCAGAAAAAGTCTGAGGAGCTAGCGAATAAATGAGTCTATGGGGGAAACGCCAGTGGCTTCTCAGGGTTAGCTTGCCCACCAGGAAAACAAGCACATGTTTAGGATATCAGCAAAGCAGGGGTACCAAAAAATTGGAAAAATATTTTGAAAGATTTTATTTTATGATCTTATTAAAAAGTACCATGGGACAAATCTCAATGTTATTGGATTTCCTTATTTCTGTTTTACAGTTCAGAATTGCTTTTGTATTATTTTGAATTACATAGGGAGGTCTATCATCTTTTCAAAGCTTAGGGTCTTAAAAGCCTAAAATTCATCCCCCTGTCTCTTTCATTCTTTTATCTTTCTAAGGTTAACCCATTCACAAGCTATGAAGCAGCTACTGCATACCAGACCTTATGCAAAGTGTTAGCAATTTAAGGAAAAAATTGAGCAATACTTTTATTTACATCTCCAACAATATTCAACTTCAATGTTATCAGACTACATTTTTCTCCTGGCCAGTATTTCTCAAAAGATTTTCAAACTCTTTCTTCTGGAATACCAAACCCTCAAGATCCTACCTCCAAAACTGTGTCTTGTGAAGCCTCAAACCCCTAGCCAAGCAGATAGGGCAATCGTGTGAACACATTTGATGGTAATCACAAACTTTCCCCAAGTATTGGATTGCAACTGATATAATAAAAGCACTTAAGAACACATCTTGACTCTTTGAAATATTTACAGCAACAAACCCAAACTTGTCCAAATTTTTTGCCTTTAATTTCACTCCCCAAGAAGCACATTATTTGTTACTATTGCTGCCGAGAAAGAATATGATGTGAAGATATCAATGGAAGGTACTTGTTTCCTTACATGCCTGCAGCAATGAAAGGAAGATAGGAGATAATAATCTATGACCACAATGCTCTGCCGCGTGCATGTGCAGAACATTAATATTTTTGTCAACTTCAGTTGATTAATGGGCCAACACCTTTTGGTTGATAGAGGTTCTTAAAAATGTGCAGGTGTTTCTTTATGGGAAATTCTTTTGTTTTGGTGAAGGAAAGAGGTAGCTCAGAGAAAGTTTTTTGATCCCTAACAATATGCCTAAAGGCACAAATCCAATCCCTATTTTACATTCAAGGGAATTCCAAACTTGAGCCTGGAGTGTGAGCTGTGGTTGAAGCTTCTCAGTCCCCCAGGCTGCCGCATGCACTAGCTTGGATCCAACTGATTCAACACTACCCTTTAAAGATCCAGGAGCACAAAGTATGCTCGCCGAAATGATCCACAGTTGGAGACAAGGAGGCCCCAACCTTAGTTTAACACCTTTAAGAAATAAAACTCTGTTCTCAACTCTGGTGTAATTGAATACATGCACAATAATGGGGAAAGAACTGCAGAAAACAGACTTTCCATTCATTTTACTTATGGTGAAAGCTGGTAGTTCTTTCAGATGATGGCCATCCTTCAGCACCTATATTCGTCATATCTGTTGATGTCAAGACACGGATAAAGATAAGGTAAATCTGATGTTGACTGATTTTTAAAAAAGATGGATTTGTGGGTAGGTACCATGACAGTCTGATTATCCTATGTAATAGAGGAAGTGTCAGGGGAGATGGAAAATATTAGTAGTGATCATGGAAGAGGGGAGAAAAAGAAACATTTTAAAGTGCCTGCTATGTGCCAGGCTTTGTCCTTTTTATACTCTCTTAATCCTGCAGTAAAATATAACTTACAGAGAACTGATACTGAAAGGTTAACCAAAGACATATAGTTACCCACGAGTAACTATAGGTAAGCACACTGTCAAACGAGAATTCAGATTCCAGGGCCGATGCGTCTCTACCCTGCATCATTACAACTTCTACCAAATCCAGGGCTAATAACCAGGGTTTCCAATATTTAACTGGACCAGAACAAACAAAGCAAGCATTCAGCTGAGTTCTTCTGTCTTGATTCATTTTCTGCTTCCCCTTCCCCAGCTTTCTTTTCACTTGACTTTTTGTATTTAAAATTTACACTTCTTGGTATAAATTCCAACAATAAACCAAGACTCTTACCTCTATTCTTTCATGAGAGATTAACTGACCTTTTTTCACAGAAGTGTCAAGGCAGAGGCATGGCAGTCAGGACAAGTGGCAGAAGATTCTGTAAACTAAGAAAAATAATCAGTTATCTATCTACCCCATATATATATGTATGTGGTATATTATTTAGGGGGGCAGGACTAATTACCAACTCATTTCTATTTAGCATTGTTTATTGAACTGACATATAACACTGTGCAAGTTTAAGGGGTACAGCATGGCTCTCTCTATATAATATATAAGCATGTGTATGTGCATATGCATATACATATATATGTCTGTGTATATATTATATATATATAAATGATTACACAGTAAGTGAGTTAACACACCCATCCTCTCACATAGTTACAATTTTTTTTCTTTGGTGAGAAAGTTTAAGATCTACTCTCTCAACTTTCAATATGCAATACAGTATCGTTAACAGTCACCATTCTATGTATTACATCCCAGAACTTACTCATCTTATAACTATAACTCTGTGCCCTTTGACAATTCTGCCCATTCCCCACTCCCTCCACCTCTAGCAACAAGCAATCTACTTTCCGTTTCTAGGAGCTGGTTTTTTTTATTCACATGTGAGATCATTTTATGAGATCACATAGTATTTGTCTTTTTCTGTTTTACTTGTTTCACTTAGCATAATGCCTTCACATTTCATCCCTGTTGTTGCAAATGCAAGATTTTTCTTCTGCTAAGGTTGAACGTATTGTGTGCTATATCTATGTATATATTATTATTCATCTATTGATATATACACTGTTTCATATCTGGGCTGTTGGGAATAATACTACAATGAACGTAGAAGTATGGTATCTTTTCAAAGCCTTGAAATTATTTCTCATGCTCATGTACTCAAAATACATATATATAGGGATTGCTGGTAAAAATACATGATATTTTTACTTTTGAGTTCCCTTCCATATGTGACTCTATCAATTTACTTTTTTCGTTTGGCATAATCCCATTTGCTTATTTCTACTGTTATTTCCTTTGTAGTTACAGTTGAGTCCCCTCCCCCCCAAAGACATCCCTGAAGCCAATACCATGAAGTATTTGCCTGTTTTATTCCAATGATTACTATAGATTTGCAGCATGTTTGGGAGTGATACATCTGTTTTTCTTTTTTGTCAGGATTTCTTTGACTATTGGGACTCTTTTGTGGTTCCATATAAATTTCAGTAATGCTTGCTCTATTTCTTTGAAGAGTATCATTGAAACTTTGAATAAGGATTGTGTTGAATATGTATATTGCTTTGGCTAAGTTGACCATTTGAGCAATGTTAATTCTTTCAATCTACAAACAAGGAATATTTTTTTCTTTTTTCTTTTGTCTTCTATTTCTTTTAGTAGTTGCTTAAAGTTTTCATTGTACAGGTCTTTCACCTCTTTTGTTAAATTAATTCCTAGTTATTCAATTCTTTTTTTATGTATTTGTATACTGGATTTTTATTCTCTTCTAGTTTGTTGTCTGCATATGAGAAAGAAAAACACTTGGTGATTTTACTCATACATGGAACATAAAGAAACAAAGCAAGGAACAGACAAAATTAAACCAAAACAAACCTTAGAAATCTAAATGCAGAATTGGGGGTACCAGAAGGGGAGGGGGCAGATGTAAAGGGGAGAGGAGGCTCCTGTGGCAGAGAATTATGGGTGTTTGGGGGTAGTTAGTTGAGGTTTGGTAACATAGCTAAAGAGGTATGCACTTATACCCCTAAGTCATATACAGTTCTGTAAGCCAGCATTACCTCAATAAAAATAAAAAATACAATTAAACAAATTCAGATTCTCACCCACATGCACAAATGTTTACTTTTCACCACATTCTTGCCAACACTTGTTCTCTCTTGCGTAAGTGAGGACGATTCTGACAGGTGTGAGGTGATATCTCCTTGTGGTTTTGATCTGCATTTTCTTGATGATTAGTGACACTCTGCATCTTTCATATACCCGTTGGTTATCTGCATGTCTTCTTTGGAAAAATATCTATTCTTTAATATCTTACTGATTTTGATGTTATCATAAATGGGTTGGTTTCTTTTTTTCTCTTTTTGATTATTATTAGTAGACATAAATGCATCAGAGATATTGACCTGTAGCATTATTTTCTGTGGTCTCTTTTTCTGACTTTTCATCAGAGTAGTCCTGCCATGTTCCCTCTACAATTTGGGGTAAGATTTTGAGAAGGGTTGGCATTAATTCATTTTTAAACATTAGGTAGAGTTAACCAGAGCAGCTATGTTGACCAAGACTTCTGTTAGGAGGCTTTTTGATTACTGATTAAATATCATTATGGGTCTGTTTAGATTTTCTATTGCTTTTCATTTAGTCTTGGTATGTTGTACATTTCTAGGAATTCATTCATTTCTTCTAAGTTGTCCAATTTGTTGATACATTATCATTCATAATAATCTTTTATGATATTTGCTATTTCTGTGATATTATATGTAATATCTTCTCTTTCATTTATAGTTTCATTTATTTGTAATCTCTTTTTCTATTAGTCTAGCTAAAGGTTTTTCAATATCATTCCTTCCATTTTTGCTCCTCTTACTAGATCATTTCAAGTACCTATATTCTAGTTCATGTATTCTTTCTTCTGCTTGATTGAGTCTGTGTTGAAACTCTCTATTAAATTTTCAGCTCAATCATTGTATTCAGTTCTAGGATTCTATTTGTTTCTGATAGTTCCTGTTCCTTATCTGATATCTCATTTTGTTCATACATTGTTTTCCCAATTTCATTTAGTTGTGAGGGGCTTTTTGTTCACTGAACTTTAAAAGAATTATTCTGAGTTCTTTGTCAGAAGTAGAACACCTCCACTTCTTTAGTGTCAGCTACTAGAGTTTTTTAGTTTCCTTAGGTGCTGTCCTGTTTCCTTGATTCTTTGTGATATTTGATTCCTTGCATTTATCTATGCATTTGAAGAAGAAGTCTCTGTAGTTTTGCTTTGTCAAGGAAAGACTTTCACCAGTCTTCTCAGAACAGTTGGGTCAGATAGTAGTCTCAATGGACAGGCTGGGCTTGCTATTGTAATCTCTAGTTGTATAAAGTCACTGCCTGTACTACGAGGTCAGGAGGGTTGCTGTTGACTAGGTTCTGCACTTTAGTAGGACCTCTGGATGGGCTCCCCAATTGGGTAGGATCCTGACTTGCTCCACCATCTTGTGGGAGCCTCCAGCTGAGCTCTATAACCACCTCTCACATGGTAGGTTCTCAGTCTATGTACCCTGGCTAGACGGTGCCAGTGACTAGGTTCAGGTTCAGGTTCAGGTTCAGGTTAAATTGCAGGTAAGTTTCAGTATTAGATGGAGCCCCAGATTGTGTTCTGCAATCAGGCAGTGCCACAGGCTATATTCTGAAGTTGGGCAGGTTGCAAGTTGGGCTTTGTGATTCTATAGAAACTGGCCACACTCCACTGTTGGTCAAAGTCTCTCTCTGGTTGAGAGTCATACAGCTCTATCTCACAGTTGGGTAGGCTAGATACTGTGCTCCCTGGTTAGGCAGGTTTACTATACAGGCTCTCTTGTGATGGGAGCTGCAGGTTTATTGGGTAGCATCAATAGCTGGACTCTGAGAGAGACTGCAAGCTGTTTTGAGCAATTTGATAGGTCCACTGGCCAGAATCCATGGTTAGAAAGGAATTTAGCCTGTACTCTGTGATTCAGAGGTATCATAGCCTGGGACCAAGTGTTGCCCAGCATCACTGTGTGGGTTCCCTGATTTTTCAGGCCTAGACTTACTCTCAACAATTGGGTCAAGATGCTGGCTTGCCTTCCTGCCTGAGTGGGATTGTATGATGAGCACTGTAGCTACTCATGGTTCTTGGACCAGGCTTCCCGGATGGAGAGGACTGGAAGTTTCCCTCAGCAGTTGGGCAAAGTGGCAAATTTGGTTTGCTGCCTGGGTGGGGAATAGACCAAGTTTTACAACCAGTTTGGCTCCTTGAATGGGGGCCCAAATCAGGCAGATAGACCTCCCTAACCAGATGGGGCCACTGGCTCAGTTCTACATTATGCACCTGCTTTGGATGGAGAAAAAAGTTTTAATTCATTAACATACATTTCCATTCATTTGGCATTTTTCTTGACTATCTACTATTTTGCTGCACTGTGAAGAATCAATAGAATACATGCACATTCAGTTTTCTGTCAGTAGCTCATAGGTTAGTGCTCAAGACAAATATAAAGTTATTTAATATTTGTATAGTATGCAGTGGGTTGTAACTCATGTGAGTGCTAAGGAGCAAGACAACAGGGAAACTGTGGCCACTGACACTGTCACCAATGTTGGAGTCACAAGGTCTAAGTCTCTGTCCTGGAACAATCTACCAAGTCTGCCCTTTAACAAATAACTCAATGGGAATTGCACAAATATCCCTCGCCAGTCAGTGATTTTGCTGTTATCCTCAGCCTTTCTTTTCATAGCTGCTAAAAACAGCACTAGGCAGTTCTGTAAAACACCAGCAAGCTCTATCACAACAGCAGGTGGGCATTTCTCTTTTTCTATTCCTCCTTTACAACAGAAGATACCATCTTAAAATCACCCCTGAGACACAGGAAGCCAAATGCAAACAGACTTAGATCAGATGGGCCTCCCACTTGTCCCCAATAAATCATCTGAAATTAAGAGCACTTCCATTTGGAGCCAAGCAACATGGGAATGCTAGAGGGCAAATGCCAGCCTACATGGGAGGATGTAAAAGCTGGCCCACAGGCAAGGTTGGGGCTCCACACTGCTCTGCATTAAGATGCCACTTTTATAATAAAGGAGAGTGAGCAATCTTTATCCAGACTCCGTGTGGGTTGGATTGTGGCTTTAAATAAATAATTTCAAGCTCTGTGTTTCAGTCTCCCTTGTCTAGTTAGAGTTGCAAAGGGGGAAATAAAATGGCAAAGTTGTACCATTGGATTACCCCAAGGAATGATCTTAATATTTGACTTGCAAACTCTGATTAATACTGCATAGGTAATGCTTTTTATGGAAGGCAGGGGTAGTGATCCACACGTTGGGAGGGAAAAGTCAACGTCAATTACACATGAAAGGAATCTGAAGAGTTCCTCTT